CTGGAAGTACTTCTGTGGGGTAGGCTGCCCCTGCAGGGTGGTGGCGACATTTGCTGAAGACCACTTAAGCATCCCCTAGCATGACACTTGAAGATACTCAAGAGACCATGCATGATCCTTTCCTCTCCATGACAAAGACATGCTGAGCAGCAAGCCCCTCCCCTTCCCGGGCCCTGGAGAGTAGGTTATTATGAGGTCTCTTCCAGGGTCTGGGCACGTTTGGGGAAACTGACAAGTCTCGCTCTGTTGCAGCCATTTGTGCTCTCCTGTGGGTCCTGGACCCTGCAGATGGGGGTTCAGGCTGCACGGAGTCTGACCACAGCTTGCCCTTCAGGATGAGGTGGAGGTAGGGGTGGCAGGGGAGGAGCGTGGGCGCATCCTGCTGTCCCTGTGCTACAGCTCCCAGCGAGGTGGTCTGCTGGTGGGTGTGCTGCGCTGTGCCCACCTGGCCCCCGTGGACGCCAACGGCTACTCAGTCCCCTTTGTCCCCCCGTGAGTAGAAATGGTGGCTGACGAGGAAGGAGAGAGAGGGAGAGGGTCCTTAGCTCTCCAAGGTCACCCCTAACCGTTGGCCCATCTCCCCCTCCAGTTTCCTGCATCCAAGCTCTGGGAAGAAGTCCAAATAGAAGACCAGTGTTCGAAGGAAGACCCTGAACCCAGAGTTCAATGAGGTGGGTCTGGGCTGGGCAGGTTGCAGTCAAACCTGGTCCTGATTTAACAAACCTGGACCTGAGCTGTTCCCGAGCTGTAAGGATCTGCCTCTTGCTTGCCTTTCCCTGCAGGAATTCTATGCAGGCCGTCGGGAGGAGCTGGCCCAGAAGGCACTGCTGGTGTCCCTGTGGGACTATGACCTGGGCACAGCTGATGACTTCATCGGTGAGCAGGCACACAAGGTGCGGGGGGGGGAACCTGAGGGCCTCTGCTAGCTACTGACCCATCTCCCAGGCAGGTGGGGTGCAGCTGAGTGGCAGGGCCAGCGGGCAGCGCCTGTACCACTGGCGCGATGCCTGGGCTGCAGTGACCGCAGATTGGAGCTGTGGCACCGCCGGACGGTGTGCCTCCCCAGCTGAGCGACTAGACTAGCGGGTGTAGGCAGTGCGCGCTGAGCCGAGGGGGCGCGGGCTGTGGGGACGCGCCGGCGCCCGAGGCTGCTACCGCTGCTGCCCCAACCCGCCCGGGACAGCAGCCGGAGGCCACAACTCGAGGCCCCGGCGCGTCCCGAGGGCCGCGGCGCCTTTCTGCGCGCTGTGCTGCGGGCGCCTAGCTGCGTCGGCGCGGGCCGGCTGCTCCGAGACCCGCTGCTCCGAGACCCGCTGCTCCGAGACCCGCTGCTCCGAGAC